TCTGTCTCTCATTCTCTCTGTCTCAAATAAATAAATAAAATCTTAAAAAAAAAACAAAAAAAGAACTCAAAGCTTCCTCATGTCAAGATATCTTTTGCTTTTAAGTTGCCACTTCAAAATAAGTGTTCTCAGTATACACACCTTCAACCTTGGCTTGACCTACACGTGGCCATTTACTTTTTTGGGAACTTGTCCTGTATCATTCACAAAATTGTTGAAGGGGCGCCTGGGTGGCTCAGTCGGTTAAGCGTCTGCCTTCGGCTCAGGTCATGATCTCGGGGTCCTGGGATCGAGCCCATCGTCGGGCTCCCTGCTCAGCGGAGAGCCTGCTTCTCCCTCTGCCGCTCCCCCCACCCACCCCGCTCCTGTTCCCTCTCTGTCTCTCAAATAAATAAATAAAATCTTGAAAAAATAATAAAAAGAAAAGTTGTTGAATATTTGCTCTCTCAAGGACTATGCTACATGATTGCATGGTAAGGCAGCAATGTACATAAATACTCCCACCACGGCCTGTTTCAAGCTACCAATCATTTAACAATGGGCTTGCAAAATTCCTAAAAATTTAACCATCAGCTCTTGCTATGTGAGCTGGCTCCAGCAGACCACTGAATCTATGCAGGTTCTTGCAGGGGTACAGCTTAGAGACAAATGGCTGCTTTGCTGCTGGAAACCACAACCTCCTCCCCTTGCATCTGACAGCTCTCATTTTATATGTAGACACACACCAAAAAGTAGCCAGAAAGTGCAAAGCAGTTTATTAATTGTGATGTGGTAAAGATCTCAAGAGTCACGAGGTCTGTGCACATGGCCCAACAGTGCACGCGCTCCTACAAAAAAACAAACACAAAAAATGCAATGAAATGCAGCTGCTAACAGTTCAGCATTCCAACACAGGGGTCAAAGGAATGGAGCTGCCTCTTCTGGCAGCGAAGTCCCCAGTAGTGCGATGACGTGACAGGCTTGGTCCACTCCCTGTGGGTTTTCTTATGCCTCTCATTTGGAACCATAACAGAGTGACACAATAGAACATTCAGATTCGGGATTTGGCCTCCAACAGTTTTTTTACACAGGGACATAGAACATTCCCTCTTGAAGCACCAGTACACAGTTTGGGAGCTGCAGAGAACTAAGACATTCTCCAAGAAGCCTGGGGTAACAGGCCACATGGAAAACACAAAGCATTTTATAAATTCACATTTGGTAACAGAATTAAGAGCTCAATACGCAAAACTTACAAGGTAATGTCACCACGGGTAAAGCCTTCAGCAGCCGAAGAAAAATTCTGAAAGGCTTTTCACCCTGTCTGAAGCTTTCAGAATTAAATTTCCTTTCTAGACAAGGCTGGTCCTCAGACAGTGTGCTCTGCATCCAGAGCAGCAAGAAGAAAAAGAGAGAGAATAGCACCCGAGAAGATATTTAAAAAGTTAAAAAAAAGAAAACCAACTTTATCTTCTTTCCATCCTTAAAGAAGGCAGGTATCCAAATACTGCTTTTTGCTCCTTTGGGAGAAAGAGAAAGAAAGAAAGGAAAAGAAAATAAAGCCGTAAGGCTGTAAGCCAGACTCAGGATGAGAGACGAGCAAGGACACTGAGAGCAGCCTTAGGACTGATGTGACCTTTTAAAAAAGTCATGGAGCAGACGAACTAATCAGCTTACTCTATTCCCGTGAAGGATGCTACTGTTCAGTTACTTAAGAAGAAAGGGACTTGTTCAAATCATGATCAAGGCTACAAAATAACAATGACCAAGTATCCACACAGCACCATCTACCTAAAGGGACAAACATACTAGCCTGGATTAATCCTCACAACATGCCTGAAAGGAAATTACAAGAAAACCAAGGTAAAACCAGTTCCTCAATTCAGGAAATGTGGTTTTAGCTGGGTTCCCATAGCATCATCTCTTTCTCAGAGACATGAGGACCCACAAGTCTGCCTCACAGTTAGATCTCTATCTTCAAATCTAGAGCCCAGAGTTTGGGGCAACTCTCGTTGCTCAAACATGTTTTCCCCTCCCAGCTGAGGTGTCAGACTGTCTCACTAGCCCGGCCCCAGACGAGCCCAAGCAGCTCAAGACTCTGAGGCTTAAACACTGGAAATAAACTGTCAATGTGCCTTTTCCTCTTCCACTTCCTTACATAACCAGACAAAAAGCATAATTTCTAATTAACTAACCAGACCCTCTTATGTATGGACTAGATTGACAAAAGAGGCCAGGCCAAACCTATGTCATATTTTTTCAAGTTTTTACTGATGACTTCCAGCACTAATAACCCAAATTTTTAAAAATAAATCCTGGGGAAGTGATTTTTTTTGTATAATGTGTACGGTGTATTTGCTGTAATATGGAAGCCTCCTGAGCCACCTAGTGAGGAATCACGGACTCCCCTGTTGAAAAAAACAGCAATGGACGAGGGGAAAATTTTTGTCTCTCATAATTGAGAAGTAAACTCTACCACTGTTTTACAGAGGACTACACTGTCGATCCTTCTGGACATGTCATGCATATTTCTTAATGGCTTATAGAAAATCCCATGTAAATTAAAATTGGAAATCATTTGCTGTGGGAAAATGGAGGAAGTCGATATAAGGTATCAGAGAACAGAAATGAGAAGTAAAGGTTATGTACCATCTCACTTCCTTATGTCAAATATTATGCAAAAACTGTAAATACCTTAGCTCACTCATATTTGGCACATTTTAGAACACAAAAAAGTTCTGAAGAATGACTCAGGTCAAAAAGATTATTTCCTATAAATAGAAGCCTCATTAAAGCCAATCCAACATTTGAACTCCGGAATGGCATTTGTTAAAAAAGAATATTGCAAATAACTGAGAAAATATTCTCTACATTCCCCACTAAAAACCTTACAAAGAGTTTTTCTTGCCTCTGATCTGGGACATCAAGAAGGAAACCACTCATCAGTCAGCTATAAGAGAGTAAGGTAACAAACTGCACCTAGCAAGACAAAAGAAAGCGATCCCTTTAGGTCGCCATTCCCTTCCTTAATTATAAATTGATGACATTTTAATACTTTAAAAACACAGTCAAAGCAAACTATGGACTCCTGGCCCTGCCAACTCTATGGAAATTAGGGTTCCAAGTCACCCAAACACAATTGATGGTGTCATGAAACCAAGGAGTATATGCTCTTTGCTGATTCATAGCTGAAAACGTTCATGGAGCAAATAACAAAGGACACTTATCCCCAACAAACATTTCATCTTGTAGCACATCAGGAAGCTACGAGCTCCATTTCATTTTTTCAAGGTATTTTGGCATCCATGGTGTGGCCAACGTTTAGGATTCCCCTCAAATAACTGGAAGAAAACATGTAATACATTCAAAAACACAGGGGAAACAAAAAGTATCTTTCAATTCAGGAAGAGAACTCCATTCAACTAGAGCATAAGTTATTAAAAGGGGTAGTTATGAGTTTCTTCTGAGAGCTCTTAATCAGTTTATAAATATAAAAAGAACATTTCTTCAATAAATAAATGGTTCCTGAAGTCTCTCCTGATGACTTCCAGAATCCTCCAGCACTGCCATCCAAGCCAGCTCCGCTTCTGAGAGGCTTTAGCTGCCAGTGGAACGGGACATGTTCTGCTAGCAGGTGACTCTTCTTGTATCATGAAGACTTTCATCAATATGTCTCTTCATAGTCTGAGTCCTGGTGGGAAAGAACAGCAGTTGTGGTGTAGCTACGTGGCCACTGTCAGAGTTTAGACAAAGAGGTCGTGCTAGGACCCCTCGATGGAACTCAGCACGAGGTGACATTAACAATGAAATAGCACTGACTCAGCGCATCTACGTTCCCATGAAGCCTCCAAGGCCCTCGAAATATTTGCTGTCTTTTGGACTAATTTCTGCTTTGAAATCCTAATGGTTCCCTTTTCCATGGTGGATATTTTTTAAAACCTCAGCACACATGAAAAGACGCCTGTCTCCAGCAGAGCATGAGGACTGTAGCTAGGAGTCTGGGTTTCTCGGTTTCTCTGAGTTCCAATGCCAGCTTCACCCTTTGCTGGCTGTGTGACCTTGAGCAAAGTTATTAAATGACTCTAGGCCTCAGTTTCCTTATCTGTAAAATGGGGGGTGGAGGGGTAGTAAAAATACAGACACGTCACAGAAGGGCGACGAGAACTGAATGAGACAATGTATGGAAGTCACTTCGCATTGTGCTTAGCACTGTGCACGCACTCATTCAAGATTGGCTACTGTTACCATTATTCTTACTTTTATTATTTAAACTTGTATTCATTACTTTTAACCTCAAGTGGCCCATTAGTACTACCTGGCACACCACTTTTCTCTGGCCCATCGTTCTCTTATTCTCCTGGATGACCACCTTTCCCTCTTTCCTCAAACCTCCAGCACGTCCTCCTCACTTTGTTCTCAGCGGACAACCTTGCTTTCTCCCGACACTGGGAAAAGAGTAGTCAGCAGGGAACTTCTGGGAGCTCCCGTCACCATATTTATGCACTCACCTGCATCTGGGCCCATCTGCATGGCCTTCCTTACTCTTCTTATGGATACTCTCTCCCTGCCTTTCTCTAAGGTCAACATCCCTGTTGTGCATCACATCCTAGAGCTACTCCAGCCACCCCACACCCCCTGCAGCATCATTTTTTCCTTTTCTACTGAATCATTTCCATCAGCATACAAATGTGCTATAATTTCTCCCATCTTAAACAGAAAGTAACTCTTGACACACATCTCCCTCCTACCTATCACCCTATTTCTCTGCATCTCTTCACAGCAAAACTCCTTGCAAGAGCTGTTTACACCCACTGTCACCGTTATCTCTCTTTGCGTTCTTTCTCAACCTTACCCCCATCGGGCTTTCTTCCCCTCTATTCTCCTGAAGCTGCTTTTGCCAAGGTCACCAATGACCTCCACATCACCAGATCAGCCAATAATCACTTCTCAGTTCTCATTTTACTTGACCTGACTCAGCAGCAACTGACACAGTTAATCACCTTCTTTACCTTGAAACACATTCTTCACTCGGTTCCCAGGATAGCAAACCCTCCCGGTTTTCTCCTACCTCACTGGATGTTCCTTCTCAGCCTCCTTTACCAATTCCCCTTCCTCTTCCCAATTGATCAACCTTGGAGAACTCCAGGGCTCTAGTCTACATCTACTCTACTTATTCTATCAGTTGCTCAAGTCAAGAACTATGGAATTATCCCTGATTCCTCTCATTCTTTCACAGATATGGGAAACCCATCCATAAATCCCTCTGGCTTTACCTTCAAACTATAATCAGAATACAACAACTTCCTACCACCCTGGTTCAAACCCGTACCATCCCCTCTCACCTGCATTATTGCTAAGGTCTCCTTATTGGGCTCTATGACTGTCATGGCCCCTTGACCACGGTACCACCTATCCTCAACACAGAAGCCAGAGTGAGCCTTTGGAAATACATAGTGCTTCTCTTCTCAGAAATCTCCAGTGCATCCCATTTCATTAAGAATAAAAGCTCAGGGGGGCGCCTGGGTGGCTCAGTTGGTTAAGCCACTGCCTTCGGCTCAGGTCATGATCCTGGAGGTCCCTGGATCGAGTCCCGCATCGGGCTCCCTGCTCGGCAGGGAGTCTGCTTCGTCCTCTGACCCTATCCCCTCTCATGTGTTCTCTCTCTCTCATTCTCAATCTCTCAAATAAATAAATAAAATCTTTAAAAAAAAAAAAAAAGAATAAAAGCTCAGGGGCGCCTGGGTGGCTCAGATGGTTAAGCGTCTGCCTTCGGCTCAGGTCATGATCCCAGGGTCCTGGGATCAAGTCCCACATGGGGCTCCCGGCTCAGCAGGGAGCCTGCTTCTCCCTCTGACCCTCTTCCCTCTCATGCTGTTTCTCTCTCGCTCGCTCTCTAAAAAATAAATAAAATCTTTAAAAAAAAAAAGAATAAAAGCTCAGTTCATTCCATTCACTTATTATGTTCATAAGATATGGCATTGTCTCTCCGATGTCAACAAATGCTATTCTTCACCTTGCTCACTTCATTCCTGCCACATTGGTCTCCTTGCTGTCCCAAGAACATGCCAATCATGGCCCCTCCACAGAGTTGCTGCACCTACCATCTCCTCTGTCCAGAATGTTCCTCTGCAACAGCTATATGGCATCCTATCTACTTCTTTTAGGTGTTTGCTCAAATATCATTTCAGTGAGGTATTTAATATCATACCCCCTATCCAGCCATCCCATTTTCTTTCCCTATTTTGTTTTTCTCTACTGCATTAAGTACCATCTGGTATACTCCATGTTTTGCTTATTTTTAAAAGATTTAGTTAGTTATTGTTTAATAACCAATAATAACTATTTTAAGAGAAAGTGACATTTCAGTTGTGTCTTGAAGAATGAGAGTTTTCTACATATGGAAAAGAATGGAAGTTATCTGAGGACAGAGATTTTTGTCACAAGTTCACTTGTGTTTCCTAAGTACCCAGAATCTATCTGGCACATGTCAGATACTCAGTAAATAACTGCTGAATGAATTAATATCTGAAATGTGGATGGTGATAATCACGGACACTAACTTATTTTGTGTTATCAGAGTATTCAAACCCTGAAGGGTTATTGTTAGATCCTCTTCAACCTTCCCCTCATCTTAGCTATTACACTCCAGTTTGTGAGAGAGAGAAACAAAGAACACTGCAGTGAACAGTTGGGCTACAGTCATCTGGCCAAGCGCTGAGCTTGGCAGTGAGTATAAAGAGAACTCAAGTTTAAACCCTGCAATGACAGGTATGTTTCATATTAGATCGTAAGTTGCTTTTGACCTGTTTCCAACTGCACCACATCAGACAGTCTCTCCTCCTAGGACGCTGGGACAGCCACACAAGCCTCCCAATCATAGCCAGAGTTTAAAAAACAGAGGGATGACAGCCTTTTGAAATTTAAATCAACACTCAGGCCTTCCAACGTGGGTATTTCTTTTTCTTTTTTTTTTCCTTCTTCCTTTTTTTTTTTTTTAAGATTTTATTTATTTATTTATTTGACAGAGAGCACAAGTAGGCAGAGTGGCAGGAAGAGGGAGAGGGAGAAGCAGGCTCCCCGCCAAGCAGGGAGCCCGATGTGGGGCTCGATCCCAGGACCCTGGGATCATGACCCGAGCCGAAGGCAGCCGCTTAACCGACTGAGCCACCCAGGCGCCCCACCTTCTTCCTTTTTTTTAAGTAGGCTGCACACCCAGTATGGAGCCCAACACATGGCTTGAACTCACAACCCTGAGATCAAGACCTGAGCTGAGATCAAGAGTCAGATGCTTAACCAACTGAGCCACCCAGGCGCCCCTCCAACATGGGTATTTCTTACTGATAAAGCCACAAGTCACCTAGAAGGTTATATCACTCTAATTCCCTGGAAAAAAACAAAAAACTGAGGCACAGCAGAAAAGTTCAATTCAGAATTCTGAGTCCAACCAGCCAAAGTCTCCTAATATAATCCTGGTAGCACAGGCTCCTCCTCTTTTATTTTTTCTTTTAAAGATTTTATTTATTTATTTGAGACAGAGAGAATGAGAGAGAACGAACATGAGAGGGAGGAGGGTCAGAGGGAGAAGCAGACTCCCCGCCGAGAAGGGAGCCCGATGCGGGACTCGATCCCGGGACTCCAGGATCATGACCTGAGCCGAAGGCAGTCGCTTAACCAACTGAGCCACCCAGGCGCCCGGCCCCTCCTCTTTCAGGGTGCTCTCTTGTCAGTAGGCAGAGACTTCCCTAACCTAAGGACACCACTCTATGCCTATGAGACAGAAAACAAAATAACGGTTAGAATCGGTCCCCTGAGACCAAAATGCTTTGGGGGAAGACCTTGATTCATACCTTGCTTTGGACCTTATCTGCATATTCTCTGCTGCCTCTGAGGGCAAAGGATCCCCTTAAGTACGCAGGAAAATGGAACATGAACAGTGAACAGAGAAATGGCATGAGCTTACCAGGCACTCAGCACAACGAACACAAAGCCTCGCCATGCAGTCATCCCCCTCCTCTTGGTCTGTGCTGGAGAAAAAGGACAAAGCAAATCTGAACAAATACTGTCCTCGGCACAGCAGAGCACGTAGGAGCACAGCTGCTGAAGCCAGACAGGTCTCGTTTTTAAATTCCAGTTCGGCCACTTACTAGAAGGGCGAGCAGGCAGGTTACTTAAGCACTGGGATAAAAAATAACCACATGTAAACCACGTACCACAGTGCCTGACACATAGCAAGTGCCCAGTAAATAGGAGCTGGTCTCAATCATTCACTTAGAAATGTACTGAGCACCAACACTGCCCCTTGAAGAGCTCACAGCCTCATGGGTGTGAGAAACCTGTTGCAACCTAACAAGTACATTATGACACAATGTAATAAAGTGTTTTAATAAGCTTAAGGTCGAACTGCTAGGGCAGCAAAGAGGAGGGAGTGACCTGTTCTCTGGGGAGGACTCAGGGAGACTCCAGAGATGGAACATTTCAGCTGGGTCTTGGAGGATCAGGAAGAGTTTTCCAGGCAAACAAGGGAGGGAAGGAGAGGATTCCCAGGGAGAGAAAAGCATGGGGGGGGGGGGGAAGACCTGAGTGACTGTAGCTTATTTAGAGAAGAAAATAAGCTGTGTATCTGGCACTTGAAGTGAACGAGATGAAATGTCAGGGAACAAGGGGCCTGAAGGTTGGAGCATAAGGAATCTTGTTAGATCATGCTTAGAAATAGACATCTCAGTATTTCTACCAAGAGCCCTTGACCTTCTGGGGGGGCCACAGATTCCTATAAAGGGCACTCTCTCTCCCATGAAGCAAACGTGCATGCACAAATACACATGTGCACACACGCACAGAAAAAGAAAATTTTAGACCCTTCCCAGGGAAGACTTCCCTCCCAAGAAGACAATGGAGAATCAAAATGGGTTTTATGCAGACTTTTGTCACCTGTTTTTAGTAGATTTATTCCTAGGGAAAATACGGGACCATGCCTGCTCACTGCCAACATGATGTTTCATAAATGCCTTTGATAATCACAATCCAATTAGGCCCTCAGAGCATGTGCTGACCAAGAACAGATCTTGGTTATTTAAATGGGTTTTGCTGTCCAAGACTGTTCTTAAAGCCTTCCTCATTGCTTAGGCATTTTCTGTTGGGACACATCAGTTTGGTGACAAAACGAGAAGAGAAAAATAACTGACTTGTTAGAAATTCCTGTTAATTTTGAAAGAATGTGATATCCACTCCAGAATTTTTATTTATTTTATTTATTTAGAGAGGTGGAGAAAGAGAGAGGGGAGGGGGAGAGGGAGAGAGAGAATCTTAAGCAGACTTCACGCCCAGCATGGAGCCTGATGCAGGGCTTGATCTCACAACCCTGAGATCATGACCTGAGCCAAAGTCAAGAGTTGGACACTAGGGCGCCTGGGTGGCTCAGTCGTGAAGCATCTGCCTTCGGCTCGGGTCATGATCCCAGGGTCCTGGGATCGAGTCCCACGTCGGACTCCCTCCTCAGCAGGAAGCCTGCTTCTCCCTCTCCCAGTCCCCCTGCTTGTGTTCCTGCTCTCGCTCTCTGTCAAATAAATAAATAAAATATTAAAAAAAAAAAAAGAGTCGGACACTAAACCGACTGAGCCACACAGGCGCCCCACCACTTTAGAATTTATATGCAGAACCATAGATAGTACAATCTGATTTCCAAAGCAGAGACAAGGACCCTACATTCACCCCTCCATCTCTCTCCCCAAATTAACATCCACTAGGTTCACCTCCAACCTTCCTTCTAGTACTCCTCGGCAGAACGAAACTTGACCTGGGAAAAAGGAAAGGGGTGGATTCAGCCCTCTGGGGACTATCCACCAAGCAGGGCTCTGAAGAGGAAAGGGGTTAACTGCTCGGGGTTCCAGCTGAACTTACTCATCTGAAACCTCAATAGACGACTTCTTATAGCCAGACTTGCTCATCTTCTGCAGCCCCGCAGACTTCCTCACCATCCTCACAAGCAGCAAAACCACCACCACGGCTGAGGGCAGGAAGACAAGGACAGAGAGGAGCGCCACTGAGGAGAGCATGGTGCCAAAACCTAGAGGAGGAAAAAGGGAAGGTGAGAGGGAGGGACGTGCAAAAGGGCCTTCTTTGATTGAGCTAGATTGTACTTTTGCTCTTGTATTTCTTCTGATTACAACAAGAATTCGTTGTAGAAGAGGTAGAGAGTGTATGGAAGTACAAAGAAGAACAAAAATGCACCCGTAATCCCACTACGTAGGACTGACATGTTGGTATCTACCCATTCGGTGTTCTTTCTAGGAGTATGTGGGTATGGGTCTGCAGATAGGGAGGACAGTGCCTAGCTTTAGAAGTATGGATCATATTTTTACGGACTATTTCTAAATTCCTTTTTTTATGTAATATATGATAAATTTTTCCCACGTCATTAAAAATTCCTTCCAAGTGTTACTTGGCTGCATAGTATTCTACCATACTGAGTAATTTACTGAACCAATTTTGTAACGCTGGACATTCAAGCTGTTTCCAATTCCTTGAATCTGTAAGTTACATTATGATGATCATCCTTATGCATAAATCCTCATATTTACCTCTATTTCTTTAAGATAAAATTTAAAATGGGATTCCTGGATCAAAGGGCGTACATTTTTTTTTAAAGATTTTATTTATTTATTTGACAGAGAGAGACACAGCAAGAGCAGGAACACAAGCAGGGGGAGTGGGAGAGGGAGAAGCAGGCTTCCCGCAGAGCAGGGAGCCCGATGCGGGGCTCGATCCCAGGACCCTGGGATCATGACCTGAGCCAAAGGCAGACGCTTAACGACTGAGCCACCCAGGTGCCCCAAAGGGCATACACTTTTAAGGCATCTAATACAACCAAACTTTCTTCCAAAAAAACTATACTACTTTCTACTCAGCCTGCAGCATGAACATGCCTGTATCGTTGAAACCTTGAGTTATCCTCTTAAAAAAACAAAGAAGAAAAAAGAGAGGAGGAAGGGAGAAAGAAAGAGGGAGAAAAAGACAGACTTGAGAAAGACCTAGGAGATGATAAGGCTTTTATAACGAACCATAATGCAGTTCTGTATCTCTACATCTTTGGTTCAAATCCAACTGAGAATTAGACTGACCACTCAGTAGTCACCCGAGAATAATGTAGGAAAAAAGGTCAGTCCTTAACCTACTTTCCTGCATTTTCATGCTAAAAGGAAACTGCTGCCTTTTGTAACATAAAAGAAATGTGCTGCCTCCCATCATTAAAAAGGGCACCCTTTCAACACATGGGCAAGAAAATGGCCTCATAACTGAGGGTATGAACAGACTGGGGAAATCAAATGACTTCTATTTCACACAGATAACAAGCCTCCATTTACTTAGGAGTCTGCCATGCGTTCCACAAGACCTCTGGACACCTGAAGTTAAAATGAAAAATAGATAACGGGGAAACTATAACAACATTTGAATAACAACTTCAGTTTGCAAAATCAAGACTAAGAAATTCATCCTAATAGACAATTCAGGATGGCCAAATGTTCCATTGACTGACTGGCTTTCAAAGACGGGTAGCTGTGCTTGTCCTTGATCTCTCTGGTAAGTAGCATGGTAGTCACAGAGCCCGGCAGAAGAAAGTTGGTGGCAGTTAGCTTACCCCTTTCTGTGACTGTTAGCTCCGTCACAGGAATATTATGGTGCACATCTGGGGGATTCTTCACAGCACAGGTGAATGTCCCATTGTCCTTTAGGGTAGGGCTGCTTATGCTTATAGATGCATCCCCTTTGTATACATCTCCAACCCAGGAAATTCGATCCCGAAATGTACCTGCTGTGGTTGGGTACTGGAAGGACTGATAATGAAAAATCTAAAAAAGCAACACCATAACAAATGAAAAAAAAGAAGTTAATTTGCAAAATGCAATGAAAATGTAAAACTAAGTAAGTCCAAAATAAAACACAAATGCATAATGGGTTTTCTCAGTTGGGACTTTTTTTTTTTTTAATGTTTTGTTCACCCCCTTCCTATAGGTTAAAAGACAAGTTAATACAACTTATCAGGAAAAGGCCTGACCTAAGAGTCCTAGGATCCTAACTCCTGAAGATCTTCTAAATTCTCCCTGAAGTCCTAAAGCAGTAGTTCTCAACTGGGGGCAATGTGGGCCTCCAGGAGACATCTGGCAGTATCTGGAGACAGTTCTGGTTATCACAGTTGGGGAGAGTGGTACTGGCATCTAGCGGGTAGAGGTTAGGGATACTGATAAAAATCCTACAGTGCATAGGATAGACCCCTCACAACAAAGAATTCTCCAGCTCAAAATGTCAACAGTGCCAAAGCTGAGAAATCCTATTCTAAAGTAGCATCTGTTATTTGTGTAGTCCTTTCTGGTTTGCAAATGATTCCCACAGGTTTACTCAGTTCAGTTACTGAACGATACATGGGGCAGGTATGATTATTCCAAATTTATAGAAAGAGAAACAAGGCCAGAAACTAAGTGAGTTATTCAAAGGCACACAGGTAGTAAGTGGGCAGGGGAAGCTTTTGCTTAATCTCAAAATAAATAAAAGTAGGTACAATATAATCAAGCCTCTCTTGAGTTATCTATCTATCTTGGCAATTAATAAAAACCCCAAGCCAAATGCATGATCAGGACTCAGTGAATGTATGTTGAATTAAAACGGTGCTACTTCAGATTGATGATCAGACACTTTGTCACCAAAAGCACCTCATTATGTCTGGTGGTAGGCCAGGCAGGTACTACAAGAAAACATGATCTTTCTCTCTTATTCAAGGTTCAAGGCTTTCTTTCCTCTTTCCTCTTTCTTTCCTTTCTTTCTTTCAAGGCTTGGTACCTCCCCATGTACAACCACTAAATTGCCCAATTTTGAAGAGCAACTTCCCAGAGAAGATGTTGAATCACTTATTAGTTCATTTGTTCGTACATTCATTCAACAAATATTTAGGGCTCACCTACTATGTGCTAGGCACTGTGTTAAGCAAAAGGACATAGTGGGAGCCAAACAGGCACAGTCCCTGCTCTCACAGATTTTACAGTCTAATGGGAAATACAGACATTAAGAAATAATAACATGTGTGATGAGTGTTCCAAAGAGGGAGGTAAGGGGCCTCTGCCTGGCTCTGTCAGTGGAGCAGCAACTCTTGATCTCAGGGTTGTGAGTTCAAGCCCCATGCTAGGTGTAGAGACTACTTAAAAATAAAATCTTTAAACACACACACACACACAAAGAGGGAGGTAAAGAATGCCTACCACTGATTATCAGCATCTATATAAAAGGGTTTGAAACTCCTTACTGACCAAAAAAGGCCTGCTGTGTATCTTCAAGATGAATACAACCTGTAAGTTCCGAGTTAAATTGGTGATACCCAAATCCTTGCCAACCGATTAGCCTGACAGAATCCTGACTGACTTGACCTGGACTGTGACAATCACGTAACGTGACTTCAAAGGTCCACTGATTCCAACTTGCGTGAGCTTGCTTTCTGACCAGCCTCCCAGAAAACAGCACCATACAGGAACTGCTGTTTGCAATTAAGGTTTCTGACCGAAGAAGATCCCCCACTGCTTGCTCTGTCCTACTTTTGGCCAAGGAGGCAAAGTCAAATAAGGCCAGCCATAGTTTTCTGACCACTCGAAATAAAGTGAACTATTTTAAATCTAAAGAAAAGGCGACCATGAATACAGCCTAGCTGCCTTCGCTGGAGCCCCCTAGCTGGCTCCTAGCTATGTGGCATTCGATAATGGGTCCTAAAACAAAACTCAAAGCTTATATATTAAAATCAAAGAGAAAGTTCTCCAATGAAGGAAACAGGATAAAAGAATTAGGATACTTTCAAAAATACAATCTTACATACAGCTACAACATTCACATTCTTGATAGCATCTATCCTGAACTAAGGATATTGCTGGAAGCATAAAGAGAAAGGGCTTTTTATAGCACTGTAATCTTCAATTAGACATCCACAATGGGATATGAACCATAAATGTGTTTTATATGTGTGTACAAAGTATATTGTTTCTAATACTGCAAGACCATCTGTCACCAACAGCATCTGTCATCCACACAAGGTGCCACCATCTCCTTCAAAAGGAACCATATAAATCAATGCAGATGTTTATACACTAGGAGACGAGGCCAAGATAAATCTACAGAGTACACATATACCAACAGATACACCCATTAAGACAACCTCATACCACAGGAAATGAGCAACTTTATGAGAAAAGATGTCTATGACTGGGACCTATAGAATTTTTCTATCCAACAGTCCTGGAGGTACTCTTTTTAGTACCTTGAATCTGAAAACATGCAGAAGGAAACAACAAAGGGGAAACAAAATTAAACCACATTTCCTCTGAGTTTCTGACAATTTTTTTCCTATAGCTTATTTACAAGATTCTCATATGGAAGAATAAAAAAAAAAAGCCCTACGTGACCAAATGAATGCCTTCATCTTCTTCTATTTATACAGAAGCTCATGTTTGATTCTAAGATGAGAAGGCCTGAGGTATGCCTGGGACCTGGAATAAAAGGATTCCAGAGCTGTTGACCACTTTAGACTCAAAGACATTTCCTTAATAGGAAACACTCACTGATTCTGTACGACTGCTGCTGGGGGGTCGGTAGGTCCAGTCTATGGTGAGTTTGTCAGTGACAGATGAAGTCGACTTGAAGGTGCATTTCAACTTGATCTTCTCTCCTACATAACCCCGGACGTGGGCATCTGCTTTAATCTCCAAGGAAAGGACAACTTGAACACCTAATCAAAGCAAGCCCAAACATTTAAAAGGTATGCATTTAGGTGGGATAGATAGATGTGAGTGAGCAATACAGAGACACTATCGTTTTTCGGGCTCTCAGAGGAATAAATGAATATCTTCTCAGGTAGGCCCAGAAAGTCAAGGAGCAGGTATCTGCATGAATCAAGGGTAGTATTTTTGTCATTTTACAATATTAAATCGCAGAATGAATGGTTGGGTAAAAATCTAAAACCTGATCACACCAGCATTTTTCCAAATACAGACTTGTGGTTAAATGCAGTACAAACAAGTGGGTCCGCCCACAGCAGCTAAAAGGTGCTGTGCACCCCCAGACACACTGACACCCCAGGAATTATAGCAGCTGCTGTGGTCTAAGGGACTTACCCCCGAGGACAGCCTGGCTATAACCTGAAGCTACCACTTTCTCAACCACCAGCAAAATGAGAACAGGAAATAAGAAAGGAAATTTTTTCAAAGAATTTTAGAAAACTGCCCCCAGGTTCTATCTAGTCATGTTTTATCTTTTCCTCTCTTAAAGCTGGTTAATGAATCCTGCATCCATTAAAAGTAAATCATGGGGTGGAAAACAGAACAATTTAATGCACTCTAAAATGTAAAAATATCATTTTTATTATTTTTTTTAAAGATTTTATTTATTCATTTGAGAGAGAATGAGATAGAGAGAGCATGAGAGGGGGGAGGGTCAGAGGGAGAAGCAGACTCCCCGCCGAGCAGGGAGCCCGATGCGGGACTCGATCCCGGGACTCCAGGATCATGACCTGAGCCGAAGGCAGTCGCTTAACCAACTGAGCCACCCAGGCGCCCCTAAAAATATCATTTTTAAATGCTCTAGAGATTTAACTCTTGTCAAAACAGGCTCATATATCCAACTTTGGCATTCCAGCTCCCCCAAAAAGAGCTCCCACTTTCTTCTGACCAATCCCCTTTCAAAAAACACTGAGTAGAAATTTATCTTCCACAAGGGAGCCAATTTTTAGGAAAGTCACCAGCACTTTGTTTTTACTGCTTTCTTCTCCACTGCGACAAGCCCTGATTCTTTTGGCAGGCCAAAGGCACACAGAGCGGCAAGGATTTAGAAGAGGGCAAACCCACACACAATCCACACACCCGCAGTCCCCCTAGTCGAGGCAGGATGCAAATCCCAGCACTATGGCTTGCTGGCTCTGTGGTCTCAGCAAGTTAACTTTACTCTTCAGTTTCTCACTCTGGTGAGAATGATAATAACAGCACTTACCTTAGAAGGTCAGTGTGAGGAATAAATGAGTTAAAACAGGTGTAACACTGGAAAGCCTGCCTACCCCAGAGTAAGTGCTCAGTGCACTTCTTCAGTTCTGCCTACACTCTCTCAACCTTCCCCATCACAGACACAGTTATGAGTCATCAACACCTTTATCTCTGTCTGCTTTGAATCGTTTTTCTTGCTCACCTCAAGACAATCTAGTCTGTTCACATTCTTCTTAAAAGGAGGAGACCAAGACTGAGCTCAAAACTCTAATAAGCATCTGACCGATCCCAAAGATGAGGCTTACCTCTGTTTCCTCCATACCATCCACTCTGACTTTGCCACGCTAAACTTGTCGTTCTTTCTATGACTTGGCAAATGCTGTTCCCCTGCCTGGAAAGCCTTCATCCTTCAGCCCCTACTACCCCCTTCAGCCCACTCCTGACCCACCCTACACACAACTCAAGCTCCAGCTCTAAAAACTGGAAGCTGGAAATGGATGGATAATCCACACTCTCCCCATACTATTCCTTTATCCTAAAATTCAAGTGCAGTGGAGAGATTTGAAAGCATGGATTTAGAATTAGATAGACCTGGACTTGCGTTATAGCCCAGCTACTTTCTAGCTGTAAGATTTTAATCACAGTCACCTAACCTGTTCAAGTTTCAATTTCCTTACTCAGTAAATGGGAAGAATGACAAGACCTACTTCACTGGATCACTGTAAGGATCCAATAAGATTAAATAAGATAATACATAAAATGCTTAGCACAGCATCTGAAAGAGAACCTTTCAATAAATGTTAGCTGTTATTATTAAAATGAACACCACAAACATTCAAAAACCTTCAGTAATTCCTTCTTGGGCTATAGAATAAAATCCACATAGAGACAACCTGGCCCCAAACTTCTGCCACTCCACCCACCTACTCATCCCATCCCTTTCACCATGCCCAGAATGTCTGCCATTTCCCAAATTTAAACTTTCATGCCACTGTGCCTCTCCCTGAACATGGCTTTGTCTGGAAGGCTCTCCCCATTTCTACCAATCCTACCTGTTCCTACCATACCACAACCCCCCAATGCTCACACACCTTCAAAACCCTGTTTCAAACAGCAGCCCCTTCTGTAATGCCTTCCCAAATTCCCTGGTGCAGTTCACTGCTCTTTCTTCTCTGTTCTCATAACAGTTAGCACATAATGCTATTCAAGCACATGTACTGTTGATTGCCCTCAATTTGTAAAGACTATTTCCCCTGTTACACACAAGCACCTAGAGGGCAAAAATTCAGAGGGAAGGGAGCAGACAGAGACTGAGAGAAAGAGGTGGACAGGTCACCAAAAATTCTAGTATAGGAACAAAGTGTGCTCATCTGTCACCCACTCTCCTCCTCTTTTACAGTATTCCCAACATTCTTAAGTCCTCTACACTCCTCTCTTTCCAGTGCACCCATTCAGGAAAAGCTTAACCCTAGATGACCACTCCTAGCCTGTGGCTGATATACACTGAAGGAGAAAAATCACCCAAATGTACAGATAGTTACCATAAGAAATTCATGGATTCCATCTATAGCTGAGCCCTTAAAGAGGCATGATGACCCTTTAACCAGCCTCGGTCAGCTCCTCTTTCTGATTCCTCCAACCTCTGCCATTCTCACCAACCTCCAAATCCCTCATTCTCAGAAGAAAACATCTCCTCTTACTTTTTCAAGAAATGTAAGGCTATACACACTGCCCAGCCATGCACTCTCCTGTGTCTACACCCATCCATACTTCCAATCTGAAAGTGTGTGGTATCCCTTTTCCTATGCTAGGCCAACCCCTTATGTTCTGCCCTGGATCCCTCCCCTCCAAGCCCTGCTTCAGCAGAAAAACCCTCTCTACTGTCTTCAAACTCTTCCTTTGCAGAGGGGCTCTCTTCCCCTTCAGCCTCTAAACACAAAGAAGTCTCTCCCATCCTTAAAAACAAACAAAAAACAATAAAACAAAATAATGATGATCTTTCCTTAACCCTGCAAAACTACGTGTTACCAACTACTGCCCTCTCTTTCCTTTCTAAGCCAACTTTGTGAAAGAGCAGTGTACACCTGGCATTTCCATTTCCTCCCTTCCCATTCACTTCTGGGCCCCTATAGTACAATACAGACTCAACTAACATTTCTGATAAAAGGCATCATGTCTTAAAAGTACAAAATCCAAGGGATAAAAACTCCAATAGGTACTTTTCTATCCTGATTTTACTGGCTCTCTCTGATGCAGTGACTCCTTGCTCTTCTCAATCCTTCTCTATCCCAAGGCTTCCATGACAATACTCATTCATTCACTCACTCTTCAAACATATAGTTACTGAGGACCTGTTTTGTGCCACCCTCTGAGCCTGGAATTAAATGTGAGCAAAATAAATACACTCCCTGTTTTGGAGCTTAAAATACAGCAAAAGTTCAACACATTAATCAAATAATCATAAAGACAAATGTATAATTACAAAATCTGATAAGTACTATGAAGCAAAGACAGAGAGTGACTATGAGAACTGCACCAGTTATGGTAGAGGAGTAGGGAGTGGTTAACGAAAGCTTCCCTGAAGAAGTTACTTTTTGAGTTGAGCTCTGAAGGAAGGGTGACAAGGTGAGGAAAGGGAGAGTATTCCAGGCAGAAAATACGGCATACACAAAGGTCCTGTGACAGGAAGGAGCACAGTCAGCCATGGAACCAAAAGTAAGGCAGTATGACTCCAACACAAAAAGCATGAGAAAAAGAAAGATGTGGCTAGGAGGTAAGCAGGAAGCAGATCATGCAGAACCTCAGAGATTTGGGTCCTTATTCTTAGAGTAATGGGAAGCCATGAAAAATACCTAAATGTGGGACTGAGGGAGAAGAGACATGATGAAGTTTTCATTTTTTAAAAGATCACTCTAGGGAAGACACTTAGGAGGAGTCGAGTAAATATAAGGAGATTACTTAGAAGGCTACTACAATAGTCAAATGAGAAATAAAGAAAGCTTGAACTAAGTTGGTGGTAGGAGACATGGAAAGAATTAGGAGGACAATACTTACAGAGTAAAATCAGCAAGAATTGGTGGTAGATTGGATGTGGAATGTTAGGGAAACAGAGGTGGCAAGGATGACTCCCAGGTTTCTGACTTGGTAATACCATTCACTGACATAAGAAAGACTAAGAAATACCCATCGTGGCAGGGAAGAACATGAGCTTGATTTTGGATAAGTTTAATGTGCCTCTGAGATGTCCAAGAGATAATGTCAATGGATGGCTGGTGTAGGGCAAAGGTCAGCAAACTATGGCCTGTGAGCCAAATCTAGCCTACAATGTCTCTTTGTAAATCAAGTTTTATTAGAATACAGCCATATTTATTCATTTATATATTGTCTCTGGCTGCTTTTAAGTAGTTGCAACAGAGACCATATGGCCCACAAAGCCTAAAATATTTATTCTCTAGCCTTTTACAAAAGTTTGCCAACCACCAACCCTGGTTTAGAGTAAATAAGAAATACATGGGTTACAGTTATAAGTCAGAATCTCATTAATGTCCCTCCAGCTAACTCTGCACACTGATTGTCACATACACACAAACAAACTCCACATATGATTTAAGTTAACCCAATCAAAGTATACGTTTCAGAAAATTTGCTTGGAAAGTTATTTAATGTCTCTATGTCTTATTCATGTTCCTCTCTATGTTGGAATTTTACTCATTCCCTATCTCTAACTTTTCTTTCAAGATTTAACTTTGGTGGCACATCCAGGAAGTCTTCCCTGTCTCCTCATGCAGATTAAGGGCACCTCTTCTGTGCTCCCACATTTCTTAGTACCAGATTCTAAAATTATCTGTTGACTTGTCTGTCTTCTCCAATAGACCCTGAGCTCATCAAAACAGAAACTAGCACATTGTCGATGCTCAGTAATATTAAACTGAGCCAAACCAACACAGTTTCCTTTTTATGAAACAAAAATTATTGCAAAATAAGCATAAAAACTACAAGTTCTGAGCAAAATTTGGTTACTGGTAAGTACACCATTAATAAATCTACCTATCAACCAACTTCTTGTTAATATGTTTGAATTCCATATTCATGAGCATGATTTTGCCACAAAGTTATCAATAAGTAAAGTCATTTTGCTTAAATCTAAACACTGGAGAAGTGGGTCTTAAATGTACAGAGAAAAGCAAGATCCATGGTTGAACTAAACTAATCTACATGTCAGGATGTTGGTTCCCCTTGGGAGAGAAAGGATAATGACTGGAAGGAAGTATAAGGAAGGCTCCTGGAATACCAGTAACATTCTATATCCTGATTTCAGTGCTGGTTACCCAGGTGTGTTCAGTTTCTAAAAATGCATTAAGCGGTACAATTACCATATGTTCATTTTCTCTATATATATATTATACCGAAATTAAAAGTGTTTTACAATCGACAGATGTAAACTCATTTGTCTACTCCACTCAAAAAAATAAAATAAGAAAAAAATTACTAATCCACTGTTACATTCATCTAGAAATTTTCATCCTAGGCCTAATGTGCTTAGGGTTATTTATCTTTTCTCCGGAGTAAAAAAACATTCTTGCCAGGTCAAAATAGCCAACAATAGAAATACTCATAAAAATTAACAATTTGTTTAATTTGGGAGGAAAACAAGAAAATCACATTTAAATATATGTAATTTTATACACAGAAGGAATGAAAAAAATATGATAAAACAAAACTCCCAGCTTTGTACACCCAATTTTCCAAAATACAAATCTGTCAACATTTAGTTCACAAAAGTGCACACTTAAATGGAGATAAGTATAAGAACCCTAGGCTGTCTAATCTATTGTTTCCATGTACTATGACAACTGATATAACAGGACCATGTTTATAACTTGGAGAATTCAAACAAGCTAATCACTTAATGGGTGCTATCTTTGAAGATGAAAAGCAAATAAACACTGGTATGAAACCAAAGTCTACTGCCTAACATTAAAAAAAAAATGGGTGAACCTTGAAAACATGCCAAGTGTAAGAAACAAGTACATACGGGTCATAAGATAAATTTTTAAGTTCGAATTAGTTGGTCTGCTGTCTTTGGTGGATGCTTTTCAATGTGAAATGACATCAAGTTTAAGAAACCACCCATCATTTCTAGAATTTTTTTTTTCTCAATAGGACAATATTTGAATATTTGTGAGAGGGAGAGGGAGATGAAACCGGGATTATTTGGAATGATAGGTCAGCCTAAATATTATATTGCAAAAGAATTTAGCTGAAAAACTGGACACTTGTGATGACAGAGTGCTGGGAGGGATCAGGGAGTGTGTCGGCAACATGAATATTAGTCATCAAATAAATAACTTCCTGGCCTTACCTGCTAAGATTTAGAACAACTTAAGTTCTTTACATCAAAGGCCCCCTTCAGAAATTCCCACTTCCCCACAGGGAAATTTTATGAAGTTAACAATTCACTCTGATCCTAGCTCTACTAACACATAATTTCCTGAGAAGACACACACATACACACACACAAATCCATAATTGCACCCTAAAATGAAGGTAATTAGGTTGGGCTGAAATTTATGCAATTTGAAAACTGCATGAAAGCAAAACTTATCCCAATCCTAAGACTATGCCATAGTGTGAATACTGTACTTATATCAGTTAATAGATTAAAAATTTTAACAGAGTTTATATGCTTTCTTGTATTTTAAAAATGTTATTAAAACGCTACAGCAGTTGCGTTTTCCTCAACAAAATGCGTCTCTCCTGTAACGAAATCACAGCACATCCTTTCAGTGACATATAAAATAAACATTTTACTTCCAAGGCCCTGACAATCACCTACAAAAAAGTACCAACAGTCATGATTTTCTTTCCCAAAATTACTGAGACAAACTCCTGAACACTAGAACTACCCCTTCCTAATCAGAACATACAGGCCACAAAACCACAGCGGAGTCAACCGCTGGTAACTCATCACAAGATAGCACGGGGTGACCACAAAGCCAGCACCCTCCGTGGTTCTAGCACGTTGTGCCATCACCAGAATACAAAGCAGTCACGCAAGGTGGTCGAGCTCCCCAGGGCTCAGGAAAGCACTGACAAGCTGCCAACGGCCCTCAAGTGGGTGGTGAATACAAGAAGAGAAAACGCTCCCCACACGGTCCCACTTCTCGCACTGCCAGAAGCCGTGTGGGGGCTTTCCTGAGACGCCCCCCACCGGAACCGGAAAACCGACCATCTTCCCTAACCCCCCGACCGGAAGTTGGGGGACCCAGCCGGCGCTCTCACCCTGGAAGAACAAGACGCCCAGCAGTGGGAACAGAGCGCAGCTACGGCCTCCAGCAGCTCCATTCTGCTGCATCCCGACAGCTCTCCGGATGCTTGCACACCTTGTTTACGGCTCCCGGTAACCACACAGGTGATACCGGAAGTGACGTCAGGGCGGGAGGCCGCGAGAACACTTTAAAATGGCGATTTGAAGTTGCCATAGGAACGTGGCATCTTTCCAGAGCCACACCTGAACCTGCTCGGACCCGCGATTTTTTTAAGTCTCGAGTGAGAATTAATTGTTCTCTTTTGCTTGACAATGAAGCCACAGACTTTGGAAAAATTACAATTTATTTTTATGGAATTCTGTCGTACTAGTCTTGATCCCCCGATTCTCTTCAGAAGTCATTTTTTACTCCCTACAGATTATTTTATTTGAACTATCTCAAAATAGGTTTCTATAAATTTAGAGTTAGAAGAGACCTAGGAGATTATACAGGATCAGTCAGTAAATATGTATTAGGCCTTCGTGATGAATGTGTACCTCAAGTGTCTTTGGTTCGTGTTTTGTGGGTAGCTATCACAGCGCCCAGCTCAGTACCTACATAAATTGAGTATTTATTAAACTGATGTTTACAGTGGCGATGATGAAATGACTACAACATATAATACAGGGAAAAAAGGAACTCTTTTGGTGGGAAAAGTGAGCAAGTAAGCTTAATAAGCTTAATAAGCTTTCATTTTTCAATTCCCATTCCGTTACCAGACGTGAAAGCTAGTGATTTTCTCTATTGAGAAGGTAATGTAAGAGTACCGAACAGAAGAGATGATACCCTTCCTTCAGAAGCGTTCCCAAACTAAGTAGTTTGTCGTGCCCAATTCCCAGTTGTCCAAAGCAATGTGGAAATCCATATACATTTATCCAGTATAAACTAATTTTATCCATTATTGGCTTCCAGACTCCCTCCTTCTAAGGAAACTCCTCAGTAAAGATAAAATATATAACCATCTGTTTTTTGGTACTTGCTGTGTAAAATGTTTAGATTTGTATATAAGCAAATTATATAATTGATAATTCTTTATTACTAAAGGTTATTTACAAATGTGTTTAAGGCACAATAAAAAATAAATTACAATACAAAAGTTATCTTTAGGAAGAAGACACTGAACAACAGGGTCATATTAACCCCTGAATATTTAGCCAAGACACAAGCTACAAGTTTTACTGGAAAAGACTTTCCATGAGTTTTTAACCACTTGTTCATTACACTTATGGAACATCATGCAGGCCATCTGTTTGAAAAAATATTATGTTATTTTCAAAGGCTGAATTATGGAGAAAAATAGAAAATGTGAGTTAAAGGTAATATAGACCCTAAATCTAACTTTTAGTTTCAAAACTAAGTATTAAGACTACTTTTTTAGTGTAAAAGACAAAATGAGACAGGTATGGAATGAATCAGAATCAAGGTTCATATGTAAATTGTACCAACTATTTTAAAATACCCGAAAAAAATATCAAAGTTCAGCATCTTTAACTACAGGTAACTATTTGAAAATTCCAGTTTGTTAAAAGAAAGAACATCTTTGGCCCAGTCAGTAAAAACTGAAAATATTAGACTATAAAGATGGGGGAGAGGGAGCAACTAAACTTTCAGATGTTTTGTACATTTTGAACAAATGCTGCTATAGCTTAAGTTTGGAAAGACAATGGGAGATTAAACACTTTAAAAAGCACTCTTCTTTCCATAGCCCACTTATAAAGTTTGCTTTCTCTACTAGTATAAGGGAAAAAACGAATAAAGTTGGTTTCATATTATTAGTTTTGGTATTTCTTTGCCCCATACCAAATCCTCCCTCCCACAAAGTAAGCAAGTAAATTAAAGCAAAAATAAGATAAAGAAAAGGAAAAAAAAATAAATATCATCATCCAGTTCTCAGAGCTTTATATAACACTGTACAAAATTATCATCATATAGGGTTGATTTTTTTCACCAGCCCTAAATTTTTACAGTTGTAATGTACTATTTCAGAATCCTTCCATGTAACTGCTTAATGATTCCAGTCTGCAAGTGAACTTAGATTTTGTTCTGTTGTTATAGATAACTGAATAGTAAGCTAAACAGTATTCACCGCTCATGAAAAACCTGCACTTTTGGTTGTTTTTCACAACATAGAAAAAAAAGGGTGACAAGTGATTCATCCTGGGGTGGCATTTGTCAATCTATAAGCATTTATAAACTTTTCTAGCTACTCTGTGATTTAGATTTGTGCTATTATAAAACTTGGATCAACAAAACAAAAAACATTATTTAGGATACTGAAACAAATTCAATAAAACAAGATGTGTCCCATACTTAAGGACAGCCAGGAAAAAATCAAACTGTTCTTTTAACAGTTTGAACTTAAGATTTACTGTTAATCAATCAAAAACAGCTGGGAGAATTAGCTCACTTTTAATTAAGAGTGAGAAGGAAAGAGTAAACACATTAACTTAAGTAGCAAAAGTGCTACTCTAAAGAAACTAATATGTTAAAGGAAACATCATGACAGACAAATTGGCTCTCATCTCATTTGATACCAATGTATGTGTGTACAATTAAGAATCCACAAGGAGTGTTTAAGGGCAAAAATGTAGCTTCTTAGTATAAAAGGCTAATAATGGGCATTTGAAAAATATTTGCACTTTGAAATTAAATAAAACCTTAGTAATAGACTGTGTGTGAGTTTGTTGGTATCTGCTCAAGAGGGCCTTTGCCAGCTCCAGAGAGATGTTGCTCATCTAGATGGTTATGTACTGCAGAGCTGCTTGGAAGACAGGTCACAACTGGAAAAGCCAAAGAAAAGCTCCCATCAACTTCAGCTTATCCTAAATTTCTTGTTCTTGGGAATCTTCAGCTTTCTGAAATACAAAAGTTTAAATGGATAATGCATTTGGGAAGAGTGCATAGAGATACCTGGAATTATGAATTACACATATATTATTAGATATGTTCGCCACTGTGAAGGAAAATATTCTTAATGTACTTGTTCTCCTAATTCAACTTTTAAAAGATGTTTCCTGATCCTTGTTACATAGTTCTCAGTGTCAATTTCCTTAATTTGTAGCCTCTGCCTTGCATGGACACTTGGATGATCCATAGCTCACTCACACACATGCATGCCTTCTCTCTCTCTCTCTTTCTCTCTCTCTCTCCCCTTTTATTATAAACAAATCAAGCACACAGAAAAGTAGAAAAGACAGTGTATAGAATTCACCCATTACCTAATTTTAAAGCATTTTTTATATTATTTGCCATATATTTATTTGGTTTTTAATTTGTTATATATAAATACATATATAAATTTATATATAATAAATGTATATTATATATAAATGTATATTTAAGATAGGGACATTCTCTTCTATAACCACAAAATCTTTATTATACCTAATAAAAATTAACAGTAATTCCCTAACATTATCCATTTTCCAAAATTTTCATATTCAAGACTCCCAACTGCCCTCCCCACCAAAATCTTCTTACAACTAGTTTGTTAAAACTAGTATCCATCCAGTGAGGACATCCAGTCACATTGCACTCGATTGTGTTAGTTCTTTAAATTTCTTTTCATTTCCATCTTTATTTTCCATGACCCTGACTTGTCAGAGAATCTGCTTGGCTTTAAAAAGACAATAGCCCTTGGTAAAATCTCTCTCTGATACTAGATTCTTCTGGGTTTACAATAGAATCATTTCTCTCCATATTCTATTTTATAAATCCTTGAGGGCTTTCCCTGAAGCTTTAGTTTACAAAAATGTGACTCTTTTTGCAAATAATAATAGTGGACCTGCTTCGGAGAATAGGAAAAATTCTGATCATATGAAAAATAAATCATCTTACCCTTTAAGCATAATAAACCTGAAAACTAGAAAAATAAAACTACACACTACTAAAATTAGATTCATAGTCCCAATAACTAGATGAAAGGAGTTGAAATCAATTCCAAGTAGTATAAAAGTTCCGCCAAAATGTCAGACATACCCATTGAGTTATTCTCTTGATGCCACAATTGGTTTACAATAAAATAAAACAAGCAGATATTGCTTCTTTCATTTAAAAAAATAAAGATTTATTTACATGTTGAAAGTGAATTTATTATTCTTGGTCAGGGTAAACAACCACCAAGCCTCAAATAATCTTAGAATTCTCCCATCTTCCATGGCAGTAGGGTCTCACTGCCTCATCCTTTGCACAAAACACACTCAAAGAGGAAGCTGTACATGACACTAATAGAAGACTTTTATCTCCCCGACCCAGCTCCTCTAATTTCATGTAGAAAACACCTAACATCTAATTTCATGTAGAAGTCCTAAAATCTGGGAGATCCACATTAGAGATGGGCCAGACAAGAAAGCTAAGGAAAGAAATCAACTCATTTATGAGCCTCACCATCTAAGAATGTTAGTCTGTGTCTTCTAAATAAATGGAGACCTTTTTTTCTTGGTTGAGCCTTTCCTCTTCTTTTCTGTAACAAAGAAGTAGAAACCAATGTCAGGTGAAAATGACAAGAAGCAAGGGAGGTAAATCTTAGAAAGAAAGCTTTGAGCGATGTATTTTCTCCCATATTTTGGGAAGCATTAAATGCATCTGGGAATAGATCCAAGCTTACAGAGAGCTAAACCACCAGTGCCATCTATCTAATAATACACATGCCTCCACGTGACCCTGGGTCTCTGAACGTCTACATGCTTCAGAATACTTTTAGATGGGGATACAATTTGGGAACCTGAAGGAGTTAAAGCAGGCACCTTAGTTTATCATTAATTCCAGCCTCTAATCCCACTCCTTATTCGGAAAAGAAAAAAGAAAAAAATCTGTGTTGACCTAGAAGCCATCTTTATTGCTTTGTAGTCAAACCCTAACATCAGAGTTGGGTTCATTGGGCTTCTTAAAATCAATTCTATTTACTTCAGTAAATATTTATTGAGGAAAGGAAACAAATGGTGCTGGGACAACTGAAAAACTGCAATTGCAAAAGAATGAATTTGGACTCCTATGTCACTCCATATACAAAAATTAACTCAAAATCAATCAAAGACCTACTGGAAGAGTTAAAACTGTAAATCTCTTAGAAGAAAACAAGCATAAATCTTCACGACCTTGATTGAGTTAGGCAGTGGTTTCTTAGATATGACACCAATAGCAGAAGCAACAAAAGAAAAAATCGATGAATTGGACTTCCTCAAAATTAAAAAGTTCTGTGCTTCAAAGGACATGAAGAAGAAAGTGAAAAGGCAACCCACAAAAGACAACCCAACTTGTAAATGGGCAAAATATTTGAATAGATAGGTCTCCAAATAAGATATGCAAATGGCCGGGACACCTGGGTGGCTCAGTCAGTTAAGCGTCTGCCTTCAGCTCAGGTCGTGATCCCAGAGTCCTGGGATCGAGTCCCACATCAGGCTTCCTGCTTAGCAGGAAGCCTGCTTCTCCCTCTCCCACTCCCCCTGCTTGTGCTCTCTCTCTCTGACAAATAAATAAAAATATTAAAAAAAAAAAAAGGTATGCAAATGGCCAATAAACACATGGAAGGATGCTCAACATCATTAGTCATTAGGAAAAGGCAAATCAAAACCTCAGTGAGATGCCACTCCACGCCCACTAGGTGGCTATAATCAAAAGGTCAGACAACAAGTGTTGTCAACGATATGGACAAATTAGGGCACCTGGGTGGCTCAGTTGGTTAAGCGTCTGCCTTCGGCTCAGGTCATGATCCCAGAGTCCTGGGATCGAGTCCCACATCAGGCTTCCTGCTTAGCAGGGAGTCTGCTTCTCTCTCTCTCTCCCTCTACCCCTCCCCAGTGCGCGTTCTCTCTGTCTCTCAAATAAATAAATAAAATCAAAAAAAAAAAAAGAATATCTTGAAGGATATGGACAAATTAGAAGCTCATATGTTGCTGGTGGGAGTATACAATGGTGTAGCTATTTTGGAAAACAGTCTGGCAATTCCTCAAAAAGGTAAACATAGAGTAACCATATGTTCCAATAATTCCACTCCTAGGTATATACCCAGGAGAGTTGAAAACATATGTCTACACAAAAATTTATAAATAAATGTTCATAGCAGCATTAGTCATATTGGCCAAAAAGTAGAGAAAATCTAAACGTCCATCAATTGAATGGATAAACAAAATGTGGTATGTACATGCAATGGAATATTATACAGCCATAAAAAGGAATGAAGTACTACTACTATACGCTCTACATGGATGAACTTCGAAAATACTATACTAAGTCAAAGAAGCAGACATAAAAGGCCACACTGTATGATTATCCATTTATATGAAATGTCCAGAATAGGTGTAGAAATGCTGGCCATACTGACTCCATCTTTGACCCACCATCTTATTGTAGTCTGCTTGATGACCTCTTCAGGGCTACATGTCCTAGAGTATTGTATAAGATGTAATGTAAAAGATAAATGTTCAAACTCCACACTCACATTCCAAAACCAGAATGTCCAGGGAGCCTATTCTGGATTTCAATGGGCCCATTAAGATACTGGTGCAGATAACATAGTTTTCTGCAGAGCCACAGGTGGTGCCACAAGGTCTGTTAAACGTTAGCGATCAATCACATGTATGCGAACACGCCCCCATACATCCTGCTCCTTTAAAACCAGCAAACTAGGGGCACCTGGGTGGCTCAGTTGGTTAAGTGTCTGCCTTGGGCTCGGGTCATGATCCCAGGGTCCTGCTTCTCCCTCTCCCTCTGCCTACTGCTCTGCCTATTTGTGCTCTCTCTGTCAAATAAATAAATAAATAAAACCATCAAACTAAAACATGGGACTTCGGAGGTGACTAGCTGTGCTGCTGTCCAGATGGCAGTCCTCTTGATCCTCCCTGTCAGTAAGTCACTCAGCATAAAACTCTGTGTATTCTATATGGAGTTGCCTACTTCCTTTTCGTTTCAAAGTGCCTTCTCAGTTTGGGGGCACTTTACGTTCTCCTCACCTTTGAACAATAGGCAAATCCATAGAGACAGAAAGATTAGTAGTTGTCAGGGGCAGGTGGAAGGGGACAATGGTGATGGCTGAAGGGCATGGAGTTTCTTTTGGAGGTGATGAAAATTCTGGAATCAGTGGTGATAGTCACACAACTTTGCGCACATTAAAAAGGTGAATGTTTATGGTAGGTACATTTCATCTCAAAAAATATACATATTTATTGAGCACCTTCTATCAGCATGGCTGACTTTCCTAGGCACTGATTGGTGGCGCCCCTGCTGACTGCCCAGTGGTCCTTACAAACGTACACTTTACATTAAAAGTAAAGGCATGTCCGGGGCGCCTGGGTGGCTTAGTTGGTTGAGCGACTGCCTTCGGCTCAGGTCATGATCCTGGAGTCCCGGGATCGAGTCCCACATCGGGCTCCCTGCTTGGCGGGGAGTCTGCTTCTCCCTCTGACCATCCCCCCTCTCATGCTCTCTCTCTCTCTCTAATAAGTAAATAAAATTTTAAAAAATCAAAAAAATAAATAAAAGTAAAGGAATGTCCTAGAAAAGTTTTATATAAGCAGATTCTGATAATATCAAATCCTCCATAATAAAGCCTATAATGAAATCTTCTGTGAAATTAATTAAGAAAGCTTTTCTAAAGTTACTAAATCACACCCTAATTTATCCATCCTGTGAATTTGAATTCTTTCACAAGACTTACTCAGAGTGAAGAACATCTGTTCAACAATCATTTAGCCCAAGTGTAAAATACCAAGAATCATGATAAAAGAGTGTTAGAAGACTTCCCAGAACTGCGCAGCCTTACGGTTTTATCTCCACCACTTTATGAGCTCTCTCAGCCCAGCGCTTCTTCCGGAAATGCTGGACAAGGACCACCACAATTACTATGATGACCATCAGTGCACAAGCAGAGCCAATGGCCAGGGCCAGGAAGTAGATCTCAGAGAAGCGGACTGTAAGGAAAAAAAGTGGATCTCATGTTTCTAAAAAGAGAAGGGACGTGATGAAATCTAAAGCGAGAAGAAGGATGTATTTTCATCATTAAATGCAATCTTCCTTTCTCCTACCGTATTACCTTGTGAACTCTAGGAGCAATAAGAAAGCTACACAGACTACTTTAGTGGTTCTCAAACTACGGTCCCAGGAGTAGCAGCAACACTCTTAAGAACTCTGAAATGCAAATTATCAGGCACCTCCAGAATGGCAGGGGCCAGGCCATCTGTTTTAACCTGTCCTCCAGGTGATTCTGATGCAGGCTGAAACTTGGAGAATTACTGAGCCAGTTGAACCACCTCGTGGGGTAAGGTTATTGCTGACCTCATCAAACCCAGCGCCCAAACTGTTTCTCCTCAATTCCCTCTCACCTCTGGCATTCAGTCAGTCATTTATTCCAATTTATTAAGTGCCTACTATGTTCAGACATTGCAGTGGAAATACAAAGCCAAAAAAGATATTACCTTCAAGGAACTCATGCCCACCGGGAAGATAGGCAAGTAAATCAGTAACTATAGTCTAGTAGACAAAATGAAACAAGAGGGAACCTAGAGGGAAAGGTCCCTAAACCAGGCAGAATCTGTGAAGCCTGGGTCCCGTGTCTTTTAGTCAGATTTCTGATTTAAACTTAAGTAAACCCAGGGCTCCTGAGTGGTTCTGTCGGTTAAGCATTTGCCTTCGGCTCAGGTCATGATCTCAGGGGTCCTGGGATCAAGCCCCGAGCCCCTGCTCAGCGGAGAGTCTGCTTCTCCCTCTCCCTCTGTGCTCTCTCTCAAATAAATAAATAAAATCATTTTTTAAAAAAATTAAATAAAGGAACGCCTGGGTGGCTCAGTCGGTTAAGCATCTGCCTTCGGCTCAGGTCATAATCCCAGGGTCCTGGGATCGAGTCCTGCATTGGGCTCCTTGCTTGGTGGAGAGCCTGCTTCTCCCTCTCCCTCTGCCTGCCGCTCCCCCTGCTTGTGCTCTCTCTGACAAAAAAATAAATAAAATCTTTAAAAAAAGAAAAATTAAATAAATAAACTTCAGTAAACCCTCAGAGCCAGAAAAGACATTAGAGAAATGTCTAGCCCAGGAGTTCCCAGCCTGGAGTCTGTGAAGGAGGACAGGGATAGAGGGGAGCCATAAGCCCACAAACTCCATGTCATTTTGTGTGTATGTGTACATTTTTCTGGGAAGCAGAGACATGGCTTTCACTAGATTCTCAGGGTAGTGATCACAGTATGTGTAAGAACCATGTGTTCTTGTCTAACCTGTTCATGCAGGTTAGCTGCAGATGAATTCAGAAACTGAGGTCCCAGGACATTCCAATACGTCTTTCGGTACTCAAATGACTTCTCCAAGGTCACACAGCCCTATTGATGGGGCCCCCGAAGGATGATACTAGGAATGAAAGGAGGGAATCCTACCACTTTACAGGCTTATACATTTTGGGTAGTAATATTATGTGTTGGTTAAGAGCACGCACCAGAGAGAGTTAGATCAAAATATTAGCTCCACCATTTACTAGCTGTGTGATTTGGGGTAACTAATTTATTTGAGCCTCAGATTCTTCAGGGTATTAAATAGGGGTAACAATATCCATTTCTTGAGTTCTTATTTAAAAAATTCTATTCCTGGGGGCACCTGGCTGGCTCAGTCAGAAGAGCACACAACTCTTGATCTCAGGGTTGTGAGTTCGAGCCCCACATTGGGCGTAGAGATCACTAAAAATAATAAAGTAAAAAAAAAAAATTTCGTGTAAATTTTCCATGCTGTGCCAGCACATAATAAACACTCAATATGTGGTAGCTATTATAATTTTCAATGCAAACAAATATTTTTTTCAGTGCAAGTCAAGAGTTTGGGGAATTTTTACATCTATTATCTCATTTTATCTTCACCATAATCCTTGCTATATTATTCTCACTGTAAGGAGAGAAAAAAAGATTTATTGACAGTTGGTAAATGATAACAGTGGCTCAAACCCAGATTTACAACTCAGAAGTTTTATGGTCTTTGCTTTTCGTTATCTGGCAGTTTCCAGGTTTGCCTTTACAGGATTGCAAGCAATACAGTACATTCGTTTAGAGTACAGCTTTGGAGTCAAAGATGCTTGGGTTTGAGTTCTAAATGATTCCATGTATCAGCTCCATGAATTTGGACAAGTGACTTAATCTCTGTGAGCCTCAGTTTCCTCATTAGTAAAATGTGGAGCACTAAGAGCACAAGAAGCTGATGTGATATATAAAGATTAATGTATGCAAAGCCCCTGGCATGTGGGAGTACTTAATAAAGGAGAGCTGTTGTTATTGGTATCTGCCGCCTAGGGTAGTTGTGTGAGTTAAACGAGCTAGTATGGGTCAAGTGCGGGACACTGCCTGACACAGAGTAGGTACTCAATAAGTACCTGGTGAATAAATGAGTGAATGAATGGATCTATTGTTAGTCTTTTATCAGAGAATTGCTTCCTCTCTCTTTTCCAATCTCAATGCCATTTCTGTAACAGATTCCCTGGTCCGTTTGCTTAACTTCGTGTTTCTTTCCACAGCCAAACAAAGCCTTTCTCTTTTTACCCCGCCACTCTTCAGTCTCCCTCTGTGGATTGCGGATCTGAAGGGCTAGCCCTGCTCTCTACCCTTTCAGCCATCACAAAAGATTACCCCTCTCTTTTCTACAAGCTCTTACGCTTCCCTAAACCGCTTTCCCCTGCCCGACCTACCAGTGTGCACGACGCTGAGCCGAATCTCCCCTATCAGCCCATCAACGTCAGGTGGGTTCTTCACCTGGCAGGTGTATGTCCCATTGTCACTAAACTGCAGCTTCCACAGGATGATGGAGACATCGTACCGCTCAGGGTTCCCGTCCCAGACCACCCGATCCTTGAAACGCCCACTCATGGGTTTGAAGGGATCCACATGGTAGTAGAATACCTAGAAGGGAGAAGTGGCCAAAGGTCTTCTTCAGTACGTGGGCAAGGAGGCTGAGATGGAGGGAGCCAGCCTCACTGCCCCATCTGCAGCCCTCCCCCAAGAACCTCGTGCTCTCCCGTTGATGGACCTCTCAGTTCTGTCTCTCTGTCCCAAGAATTGTTTCTCAGCTTTGCCCTGCACTTGTTGCTAAGAAAAGCACAGGAAGGGCAAAGAGAAACAGACTGGCTTATTTTCCCAGCCAAGGGTCTCCCGGCCAATGACAACAATCTACTTACAAACTGCTCAGGCCCCCCATCTCGAGGCCGGAAGTTCCAGGTCACTGTCAGAGCATCACCCACAGGGGCAAAGCTGGAGAAAGTGCATTTTAGCCGAACATCTGTCCCATTGACAGCCTCTAGCACTTGGGAGGTGTAAATTTCCACTGCAGCTATCGGCTCAAGGGCTGCCGCAAAGAAAAGGAAAAGGGAAGATGTGGATTAAGACAATTTCTGCGGACACTGCCAAAATAAATGTCTGAGTGCTGCACGAAACCGAATTGAGATGCCCCAGCTCTCAGACTTACTTCATCTTGAGTCTGCATACTCCCACCTACATGCACCTGTGGCCTTCGCATGCCACAGAACTAAAAATACCACCCAGCGAGACTTCTTCGTGCTCACTTTCGCCACGGTACCATACCCCAGCCTCACGGTACCCACTGCAAACTGTTCTAGCAAACTGTAGACGTCGGCAAATAAAATTGAAAGCAGAAACAAACAAATCAAAACTAATCATAACATGAATTAGACATGTATTCAGATTAAGCGTTATGTATTGTGTGTATCGTGGTCCCCTCTAAGTTGTCCAGAAAGGGTCCTTGTTAGGTCATGATTTCATACTATTCCTAGTCTTCTGCAGAAATTGAATTCGTCAACCCAGGCCAGCTTCTGCTTGCACGCCTGGAACCTCTATACCACGTGGCATTTTTTTTTACCGTGATATTTACACTGAGAACTTGCACGTTGGGCCAGTTTCAAAATTATGGAGGGGGGGGTGTGTGCTCTCTCCTGAAATTCTCAGCTTTTCCAGGGCTACTGCAAGTCCCAGACAAGACCCACACACAGAAATCCCAGTGCCAAGTCCTGCCTGCAGTGGGAGGTTGAGAGTAGCCACACGGAAAAAGAAACAAACAAAAAAGGGTTTGTAACCTGAGATTAGAAAGCCCTCTCTGTGCCCGAATCACTAGCAGCTGAAACACACCTAAACCTGTTTGTCCGAAATCAGTTCTCCAAAAACAACCCACCAACTTCAGTTTCAAAGTGAAGTCAAAACCAGAAGGGACTGTCACTGTGGCTCCGGCTCCCCAAGAGAACGCTGGCGACTTGGGAGACACTTAGCTAACTCTGGAGGGGTAGGCAGGGAAGGAGCGAATGCTGAGAGAAGCCCGCCAGCCCTTACCTGTGAGCTGTATGCCAAGGAGAAGCAGCCCAGCACACGAAGGGCTCTTGCCATACATGAGGGAACCCAGCCCTGGCCCCGGAGACCAGACCGGGCAGACCGAGGGCTCCAGCTCCCAGCCAAGGCCACGCCGGTAAGGACGAGTGCCGCGTCTTCCCCAAGAGAAGAGCCAGTCCCTCACCTATTGGGAAGCTGAGCGCCAGTGCCCGTGACTCATCCCGGCTCTGCTGGTGCACTTCGCTGGAATGAAAGGTGGGGCCAGCTGCCTACTGCCCTCCTCCCTTTCCTCCCTTTCCTCCCTCCCGCCCTCTATGCTACAAGCAGTTTGCACTTAGTTCCAAGCCCTGCAGTCTGCTCTCTAGGTCCCAGTCCGTCTGACGGGGCTCTGGCCTCTGGATGGCCTCAGAGACAGCCAGAGGAGCTGGTACCAGCCTGGAACGGCCCAGCAGCTTTGGGTTTGGCCCCCCGCACACACTGTTGTTTTCTAAGCAGGCTTCTCGCTGGCCTGGGAAGTGAATGTTGAAATCTCCTCGCAGTGACTCTGCTTCCCAAAGCACCTCCCTGGGGCCACAGGAGCCTAGACCGGATTCACAGGACCCCAAAACAATCCGAATGTCTCAAGACCCACTCCGGACAAAAAGTCCTACAGCTTATACCCTCAGTTTTTAGTTAAATGTTACCCACATGCATCTCTGCGCCTTTCCTAGCTTGTAGCTTTCTCCTGACACACCCCTGAAATAAACGGACCCAAACAAATCTTGATGTTTAATGACCCCTTCACTTTGAAGAACTTTAAGAAGCAGGACATGGTCCCTGCTCATTTAGCCTACTATCTCAATCCAGTTCACCTCCCCAATATTCCCAGGAAGCGTTCCCATTTTTCCAGAGAGGATACTAAGAGCCCAGAGAAAGTAAGTGATTTGCCCAAGGTTGCACAGCCAACAGGTCGTAAAACTGGAACTTTTCTGACTCTTAAGTCTAATGCTCTTGCCGCAAAATTACACCCAAAGTGAACCATGGACCCAGAGGACTCTCAAGGAAAAGGTTTTCATAATAACTTTTCTGTGCCTCAGATTTCATCTGCCATTTTTAGGGCGGCCATCTGTCCGGAAAAATCTGAAGAGCTGAGGAATTTAGATGAGAAAAGGTGCCTCCTTGTCTGGAAAGAGAGTGGCTAATTGTGCGAGATTAACAAAGCAGTGTTGAGAAGCAGCAGAAGACAAAGGAAGATTACACCTGAAGTTAAGAAGTAGGCTTGAGCAGGAGTCTAACCCTCAACAGAAACGAATTGCCCTAATCCCCAGATTAGCAACCTAGAAACTCTGGTGATTCCTGACATCTCCTCATTAAACCCTGGAATGGAGAAGTGGCCAGAAAAGGGAGGAAGGGTCAGGCTGACTGGAAAAGGTAAAACCTCATAAAGACGGAAGAAAATTCCACCAAGGGAGAGGCAGATTACAGAAGTGGAAAAGAAAAGCAGCAGGAGAAAGATGTCATGATCATGTGGGGAAAAGAAAAGAAAAGAGAGGAGGGAGGGAGGGAGAACGAAAGAAAGAAAGAAAGAGAAGAGGAAAGAAAAGAAAAGGGGAGGAGGGAGGGAGAAAGAAAAAGAAAAGGAAGGAAGGAAAGAAAGAAAAAGAAAAGGAAGGAAGAGGAAAGAAAAGAAAAAGGGAGGAGGAGGGAGGGAGAGAGAAAGAAGGAAAGAAAGAAAGAGAAAAAGAAAAACGGTAAACAACAAAAAACAGTTGTTAGAACAGAGAAACCCAGGTGCCACCCCAAATGAAGACCAGCAGTGTCCTAGCAAGAATGTTTTCTTAAGGTGAGTGTTCCTGAAAACAGAGTGGCTCCTTTGTCAGTGTCTAGGTCAGAGATCCACCTAAACTTCAGCAGGCTGGGGGAAATCTTCAAAATGGTGACGGGATAAAATAGAGGCTCTCTGGTATGTAGGTCTGCATCGTGCAGCTGCAGGAGCCTGAAAGAAAAGGAGTGAAGGAAACTTGATCCTCTTTGCTGGCTTCCAACTTGCAGAGAAATGCAGCTCTAAAGGAAAGGGAGGAGCCTGAGGTTTTGAAGTCTAGAGCAAACTGCAAAATTTGGTGAGAGGTAGAGTTACCAAAGAGGTCAAGGACACAGAGAAAAGCAGCGGGAGAGGAATCAGGGCAGGCAGCCTGAACAAACTGCCTGTTGTCAGGAGCAGAAGAATCTTACCCCCCCACACCCCACCCCCCAGGTAGCCAGATGCCCTGCGAGCTGGCCTCCAGCCCTGCTCTGAGGGTCAGCAGCCGCCCAGATCCCATTCTTCAGCAGAGTTCAAGTTCCTGGCTTGGTGCCCAGCAATGCCCAGTTCCTTCCTTCCAGTTAACAGGAGTGGCTCCAGAGTCACCCAGTTCCCCTCCCAGCGAGGGGAGGGAGGAGACCAATGGCTAGACTCCTTAAGTTGAGAAAACACTGAGTAAAAAGGATATGTGCCCCTGAGTCCCCAGGGAGCCAGTCAGCAGGACTGTGATCAAAACTGGAGGCTTTTAGGTAAGGTCTAAAGTGCACTTAGTGCCTAGGCAAATGGGAGAAAAAGGAGAGTGAAGTTCTCAGAAACATCACTTTTTTTCCTAAACTTTTCCAGAGAAAAATCCTGATTATCATTAAAATGGATGGCGTACCAATAGTTTTGAAGGCACCTCATCTGTCCCAACCGCCTACACGTTTCCCAAAAATATTTCTAATGGGGTACCAAGAAACTCACTGGCGAGGAGGAAACTCACCAAGAGCTCAAAAGACATAAAGGATAACTAGTCTGTATCAATATTTGTAAAAACTGTCATGTTAACATCTAAGGCAAAAATGTGGTTTTTTTTTTCACAAGATGAAATCGGCATTGTACAAAGCAAGAGAAACAAATGATTTAGCTCTTGGGGTGGTTCAAATAAAGTGTTTGTTTACTCAAAACTTTTCTGTCCATATGTTTTCTTATTAGGAAAGATTATATTTAATTTTTATTCTATGCCAGGCAAGACATAAAAAGTAGAATAAGAGGGGCGCCTGGGTGGCTCAGTCGTTAGGCGTCTGCCTTCAGCTCGGGTCATGGCCCCAGGGTCCTGGGATAGAGCCCCGCATCGGGCTCCCTGCTCTGCGGGAAGCCTGCTTCTCCCTCTCCCACTCCCCCTGCTTGTGTTCCTTCTCTCGCTGTGTCTCTCTCTGTCAAATAAATAAATAAAATCTTTAAGAAAAATAAAAAGTAGAATAAGAGATTTCTGCCTGGGGAGAAAAATCAGAGTTCCAAAGAAGATTGGGAGGTGCAGTGTGTATGTTAACAAATAATTACCATATTTGTGACTTGAGAGAGAGAGAGAGAGTCAGGAGGGAGGGGCAGAGAGAATCCCAAGCAGGCTCCACACCCAGCATGGAGCCCAATGTGGGGCTCAATCTCATGACCCTGAGATCATGACCTGAGCCGAAATCAAGAGTCAGACCTTAACTGACTGAGCCACCCAGGCCCCCCTGAAATGGGTCCTTAAAGGATAAATGGGAATTCTGGAGAGAGAGGAGAAACAGAGGCACTCCTGCTGGGACAAACGGGAGGGGGTGGGCAGGAAATGTGGTCTCCATGGGACCCACAAATAATTTCTCAACCCAGTGCTCAGGGAAGAGTGGCAGGCCAGGAGGCTGGAGAGAGACTGGGCCCAGATGTCCAGGGTCCTCATTCTCCATCCTAAGGAGTATGAATTTGATCCTGACAACTACACCATTTGGAAGTAGCTAAGACACGACCTGAAAAGAGTGGAATTACTTTGGTATTTACCAGACCACTAAAAATAATGAGGAAAAGCCTTGGGACCTCAACCACCACATAATCTACCGACTTTCTCATATGCCCCCTGGCCTAGGAGCCAGATTGAAAAGTCCAAACTTAATACCCATTTTCAGAAGACTCAGAGACTCCCAGCCACCCCTACCAACAGCAGTGCCAATCGATAGCTCCTTTCTTTCCTTCCTTTTTTTTTTTTTAACTTCTGGTGAGCTTCTCAAAGATGAGAGAGGGAGGCTAGGATGTCAGAGTCCTAGATGAGAGGTGGGCTCTCAGCCCAAAAGAAGTGGTGTGTTCCCCTTGGTCCTCCTCTTTGCCTTGCATTCCCTAGAGATATTCCAAAGCCAAGTCTGGATCTGAGACTGAGCTCTAATAGCTTAGAAAAACCATGTGAGGGAACGCCTTCCTATCTCCCCACCTGACTGCAGCTTGGATGCCTCCCCAGTAAAGCCCTGGGCTCCTTTCTTAATTACAGAGGAGGGGCATCATGCTCTTATTAACAGGCCCACAGAAGTGACTCTGAGGTTTAACCCTTCCCTTACTCTAAAGAGCAGCTAGATGGATTTGCACAGGGCTGGAGAGATGGGTATCTTTGAAGATAACCGAAGGATCTCCCTGTCCACCATAGGTTCCACACCGAAATAATGGGTGAGAATTTATATTTATATCATGTTTATTGATGAACATAGCATCTTTTGCTTACCATGACCAATATTCATTCTTAGGAAATTAATTCATTTCCCAAGAAAAGACCCAGCCACTTCTTTTTTGACTACTACATATTCGGAGGCAGGAGACAGAAACTGGAATCCCACCTGCTTGGATCCAAATGCACACTTGGCCACTGACTAGCTGTGAGGCCTTGGGCAGAGATTTCATTCTCTGTGCCTCGATTATGGCATATGTAAAATGAGAATAGTAATATCTGCCCCGTAGGCTGGGTGTAAGAATCTGATGAAATACTGTATTTAAATACAGCTCTATGCTTGGTGCCCATCGAAAACACTCAGTAAATTTGGTTGTTTGTGATTATATTTAATTAAGATATTGAAAACTGATCCTGTGACCACTTTGGGAGGAGATCTGAGAGTTTCTTATCAGGCCAAGTTTTGTATAAAGCTAACCACCTTAGCAATTCCACTCCCAGGTATTTATCCAAGAGAAATGAAGTTATATGTCCACAAAAAGACTTGTATGAGAATATCCATAGGCGTTTTATTCATAATAGTCCTGAACTGAAAACAGCCCAGGGGTCCATCAACAGAAAAACAGGTACTTCTGTAGAATACTCATACAATGGGATACTACTCAGGGGAAAAAAGGAACAAGCTTCTGATACATTCAACCACATGGATGCATCTCAAAAATACAATGTTGAACAAAATTAGTCAGATATAAAGTAGCACATACTCTTTGGTTCCATTGATATGAAGT